TTATCCAACATTAATACAACTTACCTCAAGTTGCCTTTTTGGACATGCATGCATATATTTGTACAAATTGTACTTGAGAGGAGATTATTACAGCCTCATATAAAATCAATGATGACCATGATATCGGAACTGGATCGGTATCGGCCGATATCCAGATTTAGGTATCGGGATCAGATCGGAAGTAAAAAAAAAAAAAGTGGATCGGTGCATCCCTACTTGATAATCCACTGAAGCCCACGGTCATCTCTTTTTCTGGTGCATCTTCTCCTGCCACATTTTGCCCTTACACTAGCCATTGATATGTTTGGACGCAGCACTCTGAACAGCCAGCCTCCTTTGCTATGAAATTTGTGGTTTACCCATCCTATGGAGAGTATAAATGATGGTCTTCTGGCCAGTTATGTCTGCAGTTTTCTCCATATTGAACCGAACTAAGACAACTGAACCAAAACTGAAGCAATTTAATGACATGTAGGGAAACCTGTGCAGGTGCTTTGAGTTTAGTAGATGATTAGTGTCACACTCGGTATAAAACATTCATGCCCTGCAAAATTTGGGCTGATGTCTCCACAGTATTCTAATTTTTTGAAATCCTGTTTTCGTGGGTTTCATGAGCTGGAAGCACAATTTATGTAAAAATAAACAAATAAATACTTGAAATTGTTTAAATTGCGGGCCCTGAATCTATCATCTATTAAAGATGAACTTTTTGAATGGAATTATGGACTTTAAACAACTTTTCCATGATATTCTAATTTTTTGAAAAGGGTCTATATATATATATATATATATATATATGTATATATATACACACTAAAATAAACTACTACTTACTATTTGTACTACTATCCCTAGTTTGCAGTTTTTCACTTATCGCAGGGTTTCAGGATACGGATCCCCCGTGATAAATGGGGGACTACTGTACACGTTGTGGTCACTTGTGTTTATTGTCCTTGCAGCTGTGCAAGTCTTATGGAAATCCTATGAGAGGATAACGGTGTGATGTCAGCATCATACCTGGACTTCCTTCAGCAGCTTCGACACTTGATGGAAGTTGAGTCGTGTGTCAATGGGACAATAAACACACTTCATTGCTAACGGCTGATAAGGAGCCAGGGCGTCCAGGTAGGAGAAGTCTGGTTCTGATGAAAAAACAAAAGGTCAGAGGCTTGTGTTTGCTTCACGGCTCCAGCAGCATCTGCATGGTGACTACCAGTGAAGATGACTGTGTTGAGGCTGGATTTTCCCCACAGCTCCATGAAGTGAACCACGTCCCCAAAGCGCAGAGATGGGTGGCCGGTGAAAACCACGCAAGGCTGACGGAACTCACAGCTGAAGTCTCCATGGATGCTGGGGTAGTGCTTCAGCTTGTTGGTTTGGATCAGCTGAAACAGCAACAAGACACAAAACAATCACTGCTGACGAACGCGTGAGCAACGGGTCGACTCAGCACCAAACCTTCAGTTAGGAAGGAAAATGTAACATCAGTCAACCACTCTTACAATGAGAGCGTTTGATTTGTTATTACATCTCTAAAATTAATCAACTTCCTGCGGGTAAGGTTTCTAAAGTTACAACTTCCTGTTGGTAAAATTTCTGAAGTTAATCAATTTCCTGTGGGTAAGGTTTCTAAAGTTAATCAACTTCCTGTGGGTAAGGTTTCTAAAGTTGTTCAAGTTCATGCGGGT